GTGGACTCTGAGGTAGTATGATGTAATTCTAGGAAAATGTGAAGTTTAAAAAAATGCAAAGGAATAATGAAGAATTTCTGATGAAAAGATAAAAATTTTTAGAGTACAATACCTTCAGGCTGAAGTGGAATGGATTGCCAAAGGACCACAGTTTGGGAAAAGCTGAGGTCCCAATTCACCCATCTCTCCCACCAGATCTACAGGTAGACTTAGTGTAAGAGAGAGAGAGAGAGAAAGAGAGAGAGAGAGAGAGAGAGAGAGAGAGAGAGAGAGAGAGAGAGAGAGAGGGGGGATAGACAGAGAGAGAAGTTGGGGCCATGTCACAGAGATTAGATGCTAAACATGAAAGTGAAACTCAGATTCAGTGGAGCCATGTAGATTTTCCTACTGGTGATTGCACAACCCCACCGAGGGCTGACCATGAGCAGAGAAAGAAGCACAGGCAATAAAGTAGACTGTCAGAGTCCTTGCTATCTTGCTGTTGGGAGAAAGCCTTACTCCAGGTCAGGACAAGGAAATTTACTGCCAGTACACTGGGGAGGGGCCCAGGAAGAAGCAGGTTCCTCCAGCTGGAGGTGTTAAAATGAAAGTCGATGTTGACTTGGAGGTGAGGTGTTTGTGTAGTCATGAGTGGAGGCAGTAGAAGAGGAGGGAAATCAGATACATTCGCCACTCCCAGAAAAAGCAACAGAAGTGCAAACCAGCTGAGACATAAATCAGTCTCTCTTCTGAATTTGAGTAGCTCCCAATACCTCTGTGCAGCGGGAAACTGAGGCAGGCTCCAGTCCTCACTAGCACCTCTCTCCAACTTCATGGAGTGTGAACATACTGTCCATCTAGGCTCTTCTTGAGAGTGACTGTGTGACTGCTGATCTCTTCAGGGATCTTGGGAAGTGAGTGAAAAAATACAGGGTTGGGGATCTGAATGGCTGTGTGTTCTTGTCATCAACCTGTCTGAGTCATAAAAAGATCTGTAGAGCAGGCCTGGCATAGTCCTCATGTGGAGGACATTCTGGGACACTCAGATGACACTTGCAAAGCTGTCCCTATAGCTGTAAAGTGAAACCTATGGCATTGTTTTGTTACTGCTTTGGAGTATGTCTGTTGAATCCCACATTCTGCTAACTAGGGGCCCTTTCTAACCACATGTGGAGGCTGCATGGCTGCTTTTTTGAGCTAATGGGATGTGTGGTTTCTAGATGGAATATGGAGACCATAGCAGGTGGATTTCTGTTACTGAAAGCTTTTATGGGAAGTGGAAGAGGCAGAAAGAATTAGGCCAATCAGATCAGAGTGGAGATTTCTGGATGAGACCCTTGAGAGGAAAGGGTGGTAACTGGGTTACACAATACCTAGAGTCATTTTCCTGCTTTCATACAAGGAATTGGCCCAACATAGCAGGGCTGTGTCTAGAGTTTTGGGGGAAGGAAGGAGGAGCTTATGGAGCTGTGAATGTCTGCATTGGTAGGCTGAATTAATTTTCCAACCTTTCATTAATTGTCACAGGTGCACTAGGAGGAGACATGGCTTTGATGGTGGGAGTTCTTAGTGACTGTCTCACACCAACTGGGATTGGTCTGTAGCCAGTCTCTAGACAGGTCAGTGTCTCAGAAAGCCACTTCCCATTTTGTCCCTGTCCCAACCCATACCAGTCATGTTCTGTCTCAGAAAACATCTTCCTCTGGCCCTGACCCTCCCTGGGTTTTCTCATAGGATTTCTACCCCATCTCTCAGTGTTTCCTTACATAGCCCTGCTACACTGCCAAGCCTTGTGAGTCCCCATAAAGTCACAGGAGAGCTGAGGTCTGGGAATGAACCCCTGACCTACTGTTGTCTACCCATAAAATGTAGATATTGATTCTATGTTCCCCTTGGGAATATTATCCAGACTCAATGTAAATGTCCTATTGATTTATTTCTCTCTGTGTTTTTACACATGCCATCTATCCTCTTGCCTGTCACATACAATGTCCTCAGCAGCCAGGAACCTCAAAGTTATGTGTCCAGTAGTTTGAAGGAAAGTGATAGTTTGTGATAGAGTCTGCAGAGACTTGGGGTAAGGAACCTCTGTGTAGAGTAACAGTCCCTAATCAATCACATTCCACTGTGATAAAGAGAAGATAGCCACATCTTCTGTGTTTGTAACAAGACAGGAGTCTACATTAAAAAAAAGATTTATTTATTTAATGTGCTTTGGGGTTTTGCCTGCATGTATGTTTGTATGAGAGTGTCAGATCACCAGGAACTGGAATTGCAGACAGTTGTAAGCTATCATGTGGGTGCTTGGAATTGAAACCAGGTCCTTTGGAAGATCAGCCAGTGCTCTTAACCTCTGGGCCATCTCTCCAGCCCCCATTTTTGGATAATCAGATTTTTTCAAGATAATGTTTCTCTGTAGCTTTAGAGCCTGTCCTGGAACTCACTGGTCTCAAACTCCCAGAGATCCACCTGCCTCTGCCTCCTGAGTGCTGTGATTAAAGGCGTGCATCACCACTGCCCGGAAGTAGTCTAAATTTTATGTGGCATATTTAACTGTTGAGAAAGAAGTAATGTTTTTGAACAGGATGCTCACTTCTGCTTCTCCTTCCATCTCAACCTCTTTAGAGAAATCTTTCTTGATGTCTCAGAAGAGGTTATCTCCTTCTTTCAAGGTCTCTTGGTAGCTGAACCCAGCAGCATTTCTCAGGGTAGATAGAGTTACCCACTTGATTATGGGTACAAAATCAGCTTTTTGTGTTATGTTTTCATCTGAAGTTTAAGGCTTATAGACAGTTGGAGACCTCTCTTTCCCTGGCTCTTCTTCCTCCTCCTGGCAATATCTGTACATGTTTGTTTCTCCCTAAGTATTTGCTCAGTGGCAGCCTCAGTCATCCTTCCTTTCCAAAGACTGAGGCTGAGGTCTTGTTATGTTAACCTCATTCTGTTTTCATAGACTTTACAGGGAGATAGTGGGAGTCCATTTCTTTATCTCTCAAGATAACAAGCTGGCCAACTTGAGGGTCCTGTGGACCACTGGATGAGGGAAGGTATAAGGACTCTGACAGAAATGAGTGATGGGGATGATGCTTGTGAGGGCTCAGATGGGACATGAAAGCAGGCCAGGGCCATACAACCTTCTAGAAACAGAACCTAGCACCTTCCACACTAAACCTAGTTCCATAGGCAGTGCAGGTCTAGAGACAGTATAGATGGAAGGAACAAAGCAATGACATTGACAATGACAACGAATGCACAAGGTGATGGGTACAGTAGCTGGCTAGACATAATTGTTTCATAGTGTATGCATTCCCCCAAACAGCATTTGGTGTGTTACAAACCTACATGATTTTTTACCTATAATCTATGACTACAGCCAAACAAAGCCAAACAAGAGCTCTCAAAATTCACACCCCAAAACCTAAGCCAAACACACATAAGGTCCACCTGCAGCCTGGCTCGGGAGACTCAGGGGCCTGCATGTTAACACAAAGATGCCTGGGAAGTTTTATTCTTCCTCCCCATAAACAGCATAAGGGCCAGACCAGAATATCAATCCGAGAGGAAAACACATTTACTAGACATCATTCTTTCTTTGGTCAAATAGAACCTTGCAGTAAGCAGGAGCTCCTCAGTGGTGCTCCTTGGCCCTTTGGGTGATCTGAACATCATCATATCGGCTTTGGGGGTAAGATAGATTATTCTCTTGGTTATTTCCAGAGAAGTGGTTGGAGAATTCTTATACAGGCAGATTATACAGAGAAGTTATTTGTATCCTAAAAGAGTGCAGTGGAATGGGTTTACCTAGGAGTTTCTAGCAATCCTGGTAAGTATGCCTGGATTCATTCTTATAATGGAGGATCAGGAAATGTGGCTGAGTCTATCCCCCTTAAGAAGTGGTCCTGTTTCTATGGTTTGAATGAGTTGCCTAGCATCACATTTAGAGTACTAGACAAGAATATGTCTCCATTCTAAAAAAATATTGCTTTTAAATTTTCTTGAATTTGGGCCACAAGAAGGAAATTTCTCCTTCTTACTCAGTGAAAGCATTCCCACCCCACCACAAATGCATGCCAAGTCAGGTGTATCAAATAGCATTCACTGTGCAGTTGGCATGTGCTGGCATTTTCTAGACCCTAAAAATGTGTAACTTATTAAATGCATTCCTTTACTTCTCAGATGGGCCATTACCTCCCCATGAAAAGCAATGTGTTGAGAATGCACCTGGATCCAGATTTCACTTGAGAAAACCAAACACCTCCAGAGGCTAGCATGATAGCCAGGAGCAAAACAAGGCAGGTTTTCAGAGGACCTCACAACAAACATCAGGACCCTCCTGATACAAATATCGAAATAAAGGTCAGAAATACAAGACTTTGTCAATGTCACCCTGAGAGATGGCTTTAGGGAAAATATGTCCTTAATCACTACTTCAGGGTCCTCCTGTTCCCCATGTCAGGGTCCTCCTGTCCCCCCCTTCAGGTACAGGCTGCTTCGGCCCAGACAGTCCAGGCAGATTCGAAGTCCTTCCTTTTGACTGGTAAAATCTCCTTACCAGAAGAATGTGACTGCTGGGAAGGTGAAAGGTCACCTGCTATCTCTTGACTGATTACCTGGTGTTTCCAGGCATTTACAACTGGCTGAGCTGGCCTAGCTAAGGGGCAGTGGCACTTTGCCTGCAGCAGGACACTCAGGGATGCTCCACCCAGGGACCCAGTTGAGGCCAGCATGTCAAAAAGCTTGTCTCTCAGTGTGAAGAATCTCACACAGGCAAAGCAGACTCCCACACAAGACCTGTCCCAGCTGCTAGGGACAAGCATCATGGCTTGGAGAAACCCATTGCTCACTGTCAATCCCTATAATGCTCATTTTACTACTGCTTCCTAGGGCTGTTGACCACAGGCAACTCAAGATGCTGCCCTGTCACTAGGCTTGCAAAATCAGGAGGTAGCTATTACTTGTTCCCCCTTAGCCTCTGTGTCCCCAGTCCCAGTCAGAGCCATCAACAGATTCCCAAAACTTACCTGGATCCATCTGGGAGAAGAGAAAAACTATCACCAGGAGAAAGTAATGAGTTTTCATGGCGGTGGCAGCCAGTGTCCAGAGTGCACAGAGGACGAAAGAGTCCCAGGTAGCCGAGCTGACAGATGCTTCCGGAAACCTGAATGAGCTTGTTTTTTTTTTTTTTTATAGGAACACTGGTTGCATAACCTCATAAATGAGCTAAAGGGAGGCGTTGCAAACCACAGTGAATTTCTAATGACACCTCATGTTATTCACCCTGAGAAGAGTCCAAGTCCTATGGGCACACTACAGCTCCAGCTGGATTTTGTTTTTCTGCCTGGATAATGGAAATAGGCATCTCTTGTCAAGCCTGATCTGATTCTCAGGACTCAGGACTCAGGACTCCTGGCAAGGCAGCCCCCACCAGGACTTCCTGGGTTAGATGGGTTCAGAAAGCCTAGGAGACACCCAGCAACCCAAACAGGTGACTCTGGCTCTCGGCTGTTGTGGTTCCTTTGTGTTTAACTGTTTCCCTTTACAGTACTTGGGGATTGTCTTCTGGCCTGACGGTGAACTGCAGTGATGGAAGCAGCAGTGGCAGTTACTTTCTCATCCATCTCTCTGTATTTAGACCTTCCTCCCTGAGGCTGTCTAACTAGACAGTGTTTCCAATTGTGCACCTCTTCCTGGGGTTTTCCAACTCTGGCTCCCCAGACCGCATCTGACCTAAGTCCAGGGAAGTGCAACTGTCCACCTGGTTTATGGCCTTAGCTGGGCTCTAAGTATTCAGTTATTGTACCATTTAAAAAATACCTTATTTTGCATAGAATTCCCATTGCAAATCTATGAGCAGATTTCCTAGAATGTTATGAAGGGTATTATTTATAAATGTACTTAATAAATTAAGTACATGGTTCTGCCAAACATGTAAGAGCAGAGTTTCTTAAAGGGACACTGAAAAGCTCTTAGAGCCACTGTTGGGGCTGGAGGACTGGGCTGTGGCTAAGCTGCCAGGAACAATTGTAGGGGAAGCTGTAGCCACGCCTTCTTAGGCAACCTGGTGGCTCCCCGCTCCCGGGAGGTCACCATATTGATGCCGAACTTAGTGCGGACATCCGATCGGCATAGCGCACTACAGCCCAGAACTCCTGGACTCAAGCGATCCTCCTGTCTCAGCCTCCCTAGTAGCTGGGACTACCCTTCCTTAATACCTAAAGGATGGCCTATCATAGTCATTGATCTAAAAGACTGTTTTTTCACAATACCGTTACAGGAAAATGATAGAGAAAAATTTGCATTTACTGTACCAACTCTTAATAATTCACAGCCAGTTAGGAGATATCAATGGAGGGTTTTGCCACAAGGAATGCTAAATAGCCCTACTTTGTGTCAACACTTTGTACAGCAACCTTTGGGAATAATTCGTAAGAAATTTCCACAATCTCTTGTTTATCATTACATGGAT